TCCAGACCACCAAATTGAATGCTTACTTAGTTGATTAGGTGTCAAACCTCTGGTTGCACAATCGGCTGGGTATAAATTTCCAGATTGCTTGAGGTAAAGTCTCGTGAATCTGACAAACCCGATTGTGTACGAACTCTTTCCAACGAGAGGGATGACTATTTATCCAAGTATAAACTACAGCTGAGTCGGTCCACAAATAGATGGGAAGGTCGTCAAACTGAAGAATCTGTAAGACTCGAGAAACCAAGTTATTTAACATAACTGCTCCAGATAGCTCGAGACGTGGAATAGTTATTTTTTTTAAAGGAGCAACCTTTGTTTTGGAGCAAATTAAACTGGTTGTAATTTCTCCCTTTTGATTTGAAGACCTGATGTAAATAGTTGCACAAATAGCCTTTTGCGATGCGTCGCAAAATCCGTGAATTTCTAAGCGACGTCCAGATTCGAAGTTAATCCATCTTGGGAAATTCAACTGAGGTATGTGTTGAAGTAGCTCAAGAAATTCTGCCCATTTGTTTGAGATAGGTAGCGGTAAGGGGTCATCCCATCCTAGTTTGATTGCCCATAGCTCTTGCATGAATATCTTTGCTGTAATAAGGATGGGGGCAAGCAGCCCGAGTGGATCAAACACCTTTGCTATAGTTGACAAAATAATTCGTTTCGTCATAATAGTTGGGATCGAGGTTGTAACTGAGTAATGGAAGGTGTCGGTGGACGGATTCCATTGGAGGCCCAATACATGAACTGTCGACGATTGATCGAATTGGATTGACGAATGTGCATGCTTCTCCGGGAGAATGAAATCGAGGATTGCTGGGTGATTGCTTGTCCATTTTTGAAGAGGAAAACCGCCCGCCATGCATAACGAATTTAACTGATGGACGATTTCGTGAACTTGAGGAATTGTATCGGCTCCGCCGAAGATGTCATCGACATATCTTCCTTGAGTAAGAGAAGGGATTGCTAGAGGAAATTTGGAGCCGTCATCCTTGATGAGTTGAGTGAGAGTTCGTAGAGCTAGAAAAGGGGCACAGGCAAGCCCGTACGTTACTGTTTTCAGTTGGTAAGTAGCTACGTCCTTATCTTGTGAGATCCAAAAAATCCGCTGAAATTTCCAGTCCTCTTCATGAATTTTAATTTGTCTATACATTTTTTAAAGAGAAAACGTACTGGAATTTTCTGAACCAAATCAAGACGTCGAATACATCAGTCTGAAGTTTGGTTCCAGTATGAAGAAGATCATTCAGAGAAGTACCAGTGTTAGAGCGACTTGATCCATTGAAAACCACTCTCAGTCGTGTTGATAAACTGCTTTCTCGGACAATGCCATGATGAGGAAGATAATAAGCTAGGTCAGGTTCAGATTGACCATCAGGTACTCGTGTCATGTGATCCAGCCTCTCATATTCACTTAAGAATTCATAATAAGCAGTTGCGTAAGCAGGATCATTGGCAAATTTCTTGGATAGATTCAACATGATCTGAAGAGCTCTCGGACGAGAGTCTCCTAGTTCCGTAGGGGATCGTTTGAATGGGAGTCTTACGATTTATCTTCCTTCTTGATCTCGTGAATGAGTTTGTTGATAGTGTTGTTCGCATTCTTGATCATCCATAGATAAGAGTGGAGTGGTAAAAGAAGGTATTTCCTCGAGTTTCCAAAAGCGTTGAAGAATATCATGAAGGTCTCTATCAATAGATGTGTGATATCCTTGATACAGTGTGGTGGGCACATCACTGTCAGTGGGACCAGATAAAATCCAGCCGAACTTAGAACGTTGTGCTACAGGCGATGTAGCGTTTCCTTTAATGAGTCCTTCTTCGATGATCTGAGAGTAAAAATCGGCTCCAATTATTATATCAACGGGTCCAGGAGTGGTGTAAGAAGGATTAGCCAACGTCAATCCCTCTAAAGGTGGCCAATTCTGACCTTTAACTTGGACTGATGGAAGTGATGTCGTCAATTTCGCTAAAATGTGTGCTGATATGGAAATTTCCGAATTAGGATCGAAATGCGATTTGAGTTTGAAAGAGGTTGAACCTTTAGTTTTATTGGCCTTTTTTCCTCCTACTCCGATTAAGGAAATAAAGGAATGACTTCTTGGTAGATGAAGTAGTTGTACCAGACGTTCTGAGACTAACGAAATTTCAGAGCCTTGATCGATCAATGCTCTTGCTTTCACTGTTTCTCCATTCTCTGAAATAACTAATACTTGAGCTGTCGCCAATAAAACAGAGGAGCTTCGTGATCGTTGTTCAATGGATGAATGAAGAGCATGAGTCTCCGTTGATTTTGTTTCAGGAGGATTGTCAGATTTCGACGACGATGAAGGCGATGATTTTATTTTAGATTTTGTGTTCTGATGAATGGTCGTATGGTGCTTGTGTCCGCATTTGAGACAACGCTTAGTCGTTCGACAAGCGGCAATCTTATGTTGTCCTAGACAATTGTAACAAAGCCTTTTCTTTTTAATGATCGCTAGTCGTTGCTGTACTGTTTTAGTGTCATATTGTGGACAATTCATGATGTAATGGTTTGCCGAACATAAAACGCAGGAACCAGATTTGGCGTTAGAATCTCTAGCCTTACTTTGAAAATGAGATTTAATAGCAGTTGAGTGAGGTAGTGCCGAAGATTTTCCGGTTCGAGATTTTTCAAAAGCTTGGAGCGAGAGAAGTCTTGAAATTAAAAATTCGTTAAATTGGCTCCAAGCAGGGGGTTCTTTTGAAGAGCCTAAATGATGTTCCCATGCTTAGACTGATTCTGCATCAAGACGTTGAACTGCGATGAAAACAAACACATCATCCCAGGTTTGAACTGGTCTCTTCAAAGTTTCAAGCGTGCGATAAATCTGCGTTATGTTGGTGTAGAGCTGTTCCATTTCAGTTGAAGGCTCCTTTGTCATGCGTTTGAGACTCATAAGTGAATGTAATGCTGAATGAACTAAAAGTCGTTTGTTTTCGTAAAAGGAGATCAGTGCATCCCAAGCCTTTTGAAAGTTATCGGCCGTAAGGGCGGTATTTTTCAGTAGATGGGAAGCAGATCCTATGAGATTTGTCTTAAGATACTGTAGCTTTTCTACAGAGGTTAACGTGGGGTTGGCTATAATGAGAGAGCTAAATAAATCCTTAAAGGATAGCCATTCAGATGGAGACCCATTGAATTTAGGAATATCAATTCGAGGAAGGCGAGCATGATGAAAGAAGACAGGAGCATTTGAGATTTGTGAGGAGGATTGAGTCGATGGAACTTCATTGAGGCTTTCCGAGTCATGTTCGAGAAATGAAGTCATTCTTTCTACTGCTTCGAGATAACATTCGTAAGTGATTGAATACAAATTCTCTAAAAAATATGAATGCTGTTGTAACTGTACCTTCTCCTCTTGAGTAATTTTTGCCATTGCTAAGGTAATAGCCTCATGAGAAATAGTGAATTTTTCCCAAGTTTCATTAAGAGCAGATAAACGAGCGCGTGCTCGCTGAGGCTTGACATTTGATGGACCTACTTTGATGAGATTCTCAACGGAATTGGAGATCAAATCCTTGAGAGTGAGCTGTTGCTCTAGTCGAGCTTCAATATGGCTAAGTCTCATACTTCCAGCCGCCCGCCGTTATCCGGCTCGAAGGACCAAACTGTTTGATGATCTGAAAGATAAATGAAGTGCAAGTAAAATAGTTTAATTACAATTTTATTTCTTTTATTGATAGGAAACAATCTCTTGTATAATAACTTGTATGTGAATTAATATTATAAATGATAACTTTAATTTTAACTGAGGGAAAGAAAAAGCAATGACTTTCAAAACTAGAAAGAACAGTAGTAACGGCAGACTCTGAAAGACAAGAGAGAGAGAGAGAGAGAGATCTTCTCCTGGTAGTTGAAACGTCATGGAAGCTCGAGAATAGACTTAGAGTGAGACTTACAGATGCAACAAGCAACAAGATGTCACAAGATCCGTTCTTCCTTGAGTGTGAAGAACGAGAACTATCCGCAGATCTTGAGACATGACTAAGTGAAACGTCCTGTAGGCTCGAGAATAAACTTAGAGTGAGACCTACAGGCTTAACTAGCAATAAGATGTCACAAGATCCGTTCTTCCTTGAGTGTGAAGAACGAGAACTATCCGCAGATCTTGAGACATGACTAAGTGAAACGTCCTGTAGGCTCGAGAATAAACTTAGAGTGAGACCTACAGGCTTAACTAGCAATAAGATGTCACAAGATCCGTTCTTCCTTGAGTGTGAAGAACGAGAACTATCCGCAGATCTTGAGACATGACTAAGTGAAACGTCCTGTAGGCTCGAGAATAAACTTAGAGTGAGACCTACAGGCTTAACTAGCAATAAGATGTCACAAGATCCGTTCTTCCTTGAGTGTGAAGAACGAGAACTATCCGCAGATCTTGAGACATGACTAAGTGAAACGTCCTGTAGGCTCGAGAATAAACTTAGAGTGAGACCTACAGGCTTAACTAGCAATAAGATGTCACAAGATCCGTTCTTCCTTGAGTGTGAAGAACGAGAACTATCCGCAGATCTTGAGACATGACTAAGTGAAACGTCCTGTAGGCTCGAGAATAAACTTAGAGTGAGACCTACAGGCTTAACAAGCAACAAGATGTCACAAGATCCGTTCTTCATTGAGTGTGAAGAACGAGAAACATCCGCAGATCTTGAGACATGACTAACCTTTGTTCGCGAATTTTTCCGTTATCGAGTTCGGACCTTGTCAAGGCTGTGCCGATGCCAACCTCCTTCTAATTTTCCTGATCAGTATGATCGTCTAATAGATTGAGTGTCCAAAGGACGCTTCGGCTTCAAGGAACAAAGAACTGGCCTTGCTTGGCAACACACCGCTTCTGTTCGTCTTTCAAAAAGGAATGTCATGTAACGACAAGACAAAAAACTCTTCGTTCACGAACTTTGTTAACGAAGTCTTTTTTAACGAACACTGCTCGTCCTCGGTGCAGCAGCAAGCACGCAGGCGCAGAGCGCGCCCCGAGCCGAACGGTTCCGATGGTCTCCCCACCCCTTCTGGCCGCTCAACTATAGTCTCTTAACGGGCAGCGGCGACGAGCGCATTTTTTAAACAGCCTCTGTACATATTTTTTGGTAAAACTACAATATAAATGTAATTATTATTGATATTGACCCGATCGGTGTCGAAACGTCTGTAAATTGTATTGTTTATTATTTTTAATTTGAACATTAAAAGATCCTGTTCGTGCTCGTAGCCCTTCTATTATATCATTTAATGTTATTTTAATTGAGCCATATTATTCTTTACCGTTGTAATTATTATTACTTATTAACATTATATCAGTAATAATAACTATAAAAATTGAGCTTCTAATTATTATTACTTTACCATGCAATTATTGTCACAAATATCAAACATTTCCCTCAAAATGCAAGTAATATTTTGTATATTGTACATATATATATATATATATGCAGGGTAATTCAGACCAGCCGAAGAAGCTGGCATGTACTGTTTATGAAAAACTGAATCAAAAGTCCTCTACCATTTTACAATTTTCGCAATTTTTTATTAGTTACTCAATAAGCAGAATGTCTAAAATCGACACATAAGATAACTTTAGGATATCTTTAAGAATTCTTTAAAATATCTTTAAAATATTTCATAAAGAACTTTGAAAGATATCTTAATGTTGTCGATTTTATTTGCTTATTTGGCAATTTTTAGTAACTAATATCTTATTGCTGCGATCATTACAAAATGGTAGAGGACTTTTCGATTCGATTTTTGATAAATGATACATACATGTCGGTTCCTCCGGCTGGATTTTATATATATATATATATATAATATTGTAGATAAATTCTTTGACACAATTCTCAAGTTTTTTTTTAACAAGTGATTGTTTATAGTGTTTCGTATAAGATGTTCGTTTGTCGAAATTGAATGGCATTCGGCAGAGGAAGTTGTAATAGATGCGCGCTTACGGCGCGACGACGGTACCGACATTGAATAAGCCGTTATATGTTCAATCGAGGCACATCTATAATAAGGCGGCATGTAAATCCAGGCTGAGCGTAGCTGCAGCGAACGCTGAATTTGACATTGTTCACTGGCGGCGGTAGGTAGAGGCTGCTTCCCGCCATTCCCAACCTCTACCTCTAAAGAGCTTTAATTGGAACCCTGTCGCTTCAAATTACTGTCACTAGAGACGCTCCAGTTCCTCCTTTTGGTGTCGCCGTGCATCCCTGTCGCGAGAGAGGACGGTATTATTTTAGCAGGAAGTAGGTTTATGGAACGTTGACGTCTCGAGGGGATCTTACTTCGATTCTGCAGAACGATTATATCGAGAGGTTCTACCTGGTTCTACCGTTCTGCTTCTATGCGTAACCGTTTATACACGATTCCCTTTATTCCTGTCATAAACAGTTATAAACTTACGTATAAGACAAATATATATTTGCAATCCAATTTTCACACATCCCGCACGACAAAGTTCCT